ATCATTATGATGATGTGTATCAGAGGATGATGGTTTAGAGAACTCAACATCAGGCACAGCAGGTGAAGAAACATGAGGAAAGAAAGATTTGACATTGTCATTTAGAGATGACAAGACAAAAGGAAAAATATCCTCATGGAAAACTACATGTCGAGAAATAGAAACAGAATGTGTCTCTATGTCTAATAGCTTGTAACCCAAAAGCTAGCTCAAGAGTGGAGGTTTACCCATACACTTATATAATGCCCAATGACCTCATGTTTACACGATGTGGGACATTTAATAGCCCCTCTCGAGATGTGGGTGGGAAACGGTCCATAGGGAAACAGCCCAAGCCCAACATCTCGGAAATACCACAGCATATGGGCCACTTTTACAGGCTACATAGGTAGGAAACTGTTTATGTGGGAAATCATAATGCTGGGCCAAACCATGGGCTCTGATACCATATGAGAGATTGAGATTCATGAGAAAATGATGTAACTGAACATTTGAATTCAATCTCGTTAGTTACAAAAGTCAACCATTTACATGTATATATAGTAAAATCTATACCGGACTAAACCTAACTAAACCAGCTTAAATTACATTTACAAGTGGTATAAACTAAACCGGCTAATACAAGTCAATTTCTCATTCCCCACAAAACACACACCATTGTAAACTCAATGACGTATTCAACTCTGCATTTTCTTATTATAACTTGAATTTGCAGAGTTCAAAATTCAACCAACTTTTATATTATCAAACTAGAATCACCTGAGACTTGTGAACTAGATCCATGATCACCAAGAACAACACTTAATTGATTATTCTCCATTCCTTCTCAAATTTTCTGTGAAACCAAAAAGAAGAACAATTTTATATATGTTAGGGTTAGTTGACCAATCTTATATATAAATTTTGTGAATTTGATCGTGATCAAAGAAAATCTAAGAACTACATGATCAATTAAGGTAACGACTTTGTAGCTTCTTCTCTACTAGTCTTCTTTGCTCTTTTTTTCTTCCACGTGACTCTCCTTGTTCAATCAACGAGGGTTAGAAGCCGGCGTCGTGGTTCTGTTTTTTTTTTTGTTTCCTTTTTTTTTTCTCATTTACCTTTTTTTAATAATAAATTTTATATTTCTAATGACTACTCATTTCTAATTATTGTTTGCCTTTTTTTTTGGAAAAATTAGATATGAGTTGGCATTTTATTACTGGCTGGTGAACCTATAGGTTCACCCTAGGGATTGAACTCAAGAAAAACTCTCCAAATATCTAATAAACTAGAATTACCATTCAAATGGACTTTTAACTATAAAAACTACAGTTTTCTACCCAGATACTATATTCAGATCCACAAAATCGCAACTCTTTATAAAGTCCATTTGAAACTAAAACGAAATCTGAATGTTTACTATGCTAATGAGACACGTGAGAGGATGTGATCACTCTATTTGACGAGATGGCTTCTTCTAGAAAGAAAAAAATGTACTTTATAGATGTTGTAAACGAAAATCCAAATATTAAGAGTGCCATTTGTCTTTTTTTCCTCAATAAAGAAAAAAAAAATCAACTTTACTATATATAAGATAGATAACAATTCTTAAAGGACAATTTATGCTAGAAAAAAAACTAAGAACAACATATGATATGTGTCGTACAGAAAAACTCCCGAGAACTATGGCAGATATGAGGTCAAAACCTTTTCAATTAAAACAAAAAAGGCAATCTTCAAAATTAGGAAAATAATAAAAACCTATTTTTGGTAAGAGCAAGCCTAAACTTTGCCAACTAACTTCCTCAAAGATAAGGAAAAATGTCTCCCTTTCTTTGTGAACCCTCAAAAAAAATGACCAAAGTTTTGAACAATAAACACAATCCAAGCAACAAAAACATTCATAGACGAAGAGACATCACCACACAAAATATTTGTGACCAGTTACTTCATAAAGAACAAAACAACAGCAGCTATTATTATTTTTCCTTAACCCATGACTGCTGTTCAAATTCTCTGCCTCCTCCTCTGTTTCTCCTTCACCCCTTCTCTGCAACACGTCAGTGAGTCTGAACCGCTCATGCGGTTCAAAAGCTCGGTGAATATAACCAAAGGGGACCTCAATTCATGGAGAACAGGAACCGATCCTTGCAATGGAAAATGGTTTGGGATCTACTGCCAAAAAGGTCAAACAGTCTCCGGTATTCACGTCACTAAGTTGGGTCTGTCTGGGATCATACATATAGAGGATCTAAAAGATCTCCCAAACCTAAGAACAATCAGGCTTGACAATAACTTTCTTTCAGGCCCACTCCCTCCTTTCTTCAAGCTTCATGGCCTGAAATCCCTCTTGCTATCAAACAACAGCTTCTCTGAAGAGATTGCTGATGATTTCTTCAAGGATATGCCACAGCTCAAGCGGGTGTTTTTAGATAACAACCGTTTCACTGGGAAAATTCCCGCATCCGTGATGCAACTCGCAGGCCTTGAGGAGCTTCACTTGCAAGGTAACCAATTCTCAGGTGAGATACCTTCGCTTACTGATGGCAACATGATTTTGAAATCTCTCGACCTCTCAAACAATAAACTGGAGGGAGAGATACCAAAGAACATCGCAGAAAGAAAGAATCTACAGATGAACTTCCAAGGGAACAAAAATCTTTGTGGACAGCCGCTGAATATTAAATGTGATGATAAACCATCATCGTCAGGGAAAGACCCAAACGAGGTCACGGGGAAAGCCGTCTTTATGGTCATACTTTTTCTTTTGATATTCTTGATCTTGGTGGCAATTATAACAAGATGGAAGAAGAAGAGGCAGTCTGAGTTCCGGATGCTCGGCAAGGACCATCTAAATGACCGTGAAACCGTGGAAGTCCATTTGCCGGAGTCGATAAAGAAGCCTGTTGACTCAAGAAAGAAGCAGAGTAACGCTGAAGGTTCGTCTAAAAAAGGTTCAACTCATCATGGGAAAGGTGGTCCTGGAGGAGGCGGCATGGGAGACATTATAATGGTGAACAGCGAGAAAGGCTCCTTCGGTTTACCTGATCTCATGAAGGCTTCAGCCGAGGTGCTAGGAAATGGTAGTCTTGGATCGGCCTATAAGGCCGTAATGGCTAACGGGTTATCTGTGGTTGTAAAGAGGATTAGGGATATGAACAAGCTCGCACGTGACACATTTGATGTCGAGCTACAACGGTTTGGGAATCTACGACATCCTAACGTACTTACCCCTTTAGCTTATCATTATCGTCGCGAAGAAAAGCTTGTCGTCTCGGAGTACATGCCTAAAAGCAGTCTACTCTACGTTTTGCACGGTACACAATGCATGGCTTAATCTCATGTTTGGAAAACTTGTGCCCAAAATGTTATCCCTGATCACAACAAAATTTGAATGTATTTTAATAATTTCAGGAGATCGAGGGATTTACCATTCCGAGCTAACTTGGCCAACACGGTTGAAGATCATACAAGGGGTCGCACGTGGGATGCTGTTCTTGCACGAAGAGTTTGCGTCCTACGACCTTCCACATGGAAATCTTAAATCCAGTAACGTTCTATTAAGTGAAACCTATGAGCCACTGATAAGTGACTACGCATTCCTCCCATTTCTTCAGCCTAAAAACGCCTCGCAGGCTTTATTCGCTTTTAAATCGCCGGAGTTCGCACAAAAGCAGCAGGTGTCACCGAAATCAGACGTCTATTGCTTTGGAATTATCGTTCTAGAAGTCATGACGGGAAAATTCCCTTCGCAGTACCTAAACAATGGTAAAGGTGGGACGGATATCGTTGAATGGGTGCAATCTTCAGTTGCGCAGCACAAAGAAGAAGAACTTATTGATCCAGAGATAGCAAGTAATACTGATTCGTTTCAACAAATGGTGGAACTGCTGCGGATAGGGGCTGCTTGTATTGCAAATAATCCAGATGACAGAGAAAACATGAAGGAAACTGCTACAAGGATAGAACGAATAACGATTTGACTAGTTTTTAAGAGAAAGAAAAAGCCTTTGGAATCTGTACATAAACACACATAAGAGAAATGTACGTTACATAAGTAGGAGTAAAGATACTTACTAGTAACCGGAAAAAAAAATTCAGATTTCTGTGTTCATAGGAAGAGGTGAAGAGAAAACCACAGTTTTCTTCTTTTTTGGTTTCATAGACTCTCCTTTCCCCTATTTTCTTTGTCAAAAGGCTGTAAACTCATGTTATTTTTCTAGTATGAGAAACATTGTTACAAAAATTTAGTATAGGAGCACATAAACAAAATTTATAATAATCATTGAAGAAAAACAAAGATTATGGAGCATATGCTTCACCTTCACTCTACATGTATCCCCCCCCCCTTGTTGGATTTTTGTTGTATATATGATGGATTTAAATCCAAAAGAACAATAAACTAATATGATATCTTTTTTTTCCATTGCATAATATTTTTTTTTCTCTTAAGAAATCTTATGAATGCAATTGTTACAAAGAATTAATAATCGCCAAATAAACCAAGACAATTTAATTTAACAAAATAAAAAATTTCCCTGCTATCAGTCTTAACTAAGAGGTTTCTCTATTTTTTCAAAAAACAAAACTAAAAGGTTTCTCTGGTTGCGCCCATCTTAATATTGTTACATCTTGGTAAGAACCAGCATGATATTGTGCGGACACTCATTTTTATAAAAAAAGACTAGGATCAGCCCGTCCTACGAACATGGTATATTTTATTTGTGATTTAAGTTATTATTTGTTGTATGAGTTCCTGATTTATGTTTTGGATTTTCATTTGCAAAAGATATATATGATAATAATTTTTGATTTTTAGAAAGTTTTTGTTGATGAGAAAACGTATGACGAACAGAAATGTAATCCACGTTTTATACTAAAACCTCCGTTCTACTTTCTATCATAAATTAAGTAGAGTGAATACTAATAACATATGAACTATTATGTATACATGAACTTATTTTTAATAGTATGATAAATATAATCTATAAAAAGAACAGCAATACATACACAGTGAATAAAGATAATTTTTAATTTAAAATAAGGTAAACATCTAAAAATACTTATTAAAATTGATGATATATATACATATATGTAACTTCCGGTTAATACCGACTCGTAGGACGGGTTAAATCCTAGTATAACATATATATATATATATATATATATATATATATATCTATATATATAAAGAAGACTTTTCCCTCCTGTGAACGTGCCATGTCATCAATTCGTGCATTCTGGAAGCGACATCTGTCCATTCATCAAAACGCAGCGGTTAGTTTTCGTTTGGTTTATATTCTACACGAGTTAGCTATTTATAGTGGGCCGAAAACTAATATTATCTTGGCCCATTAGATGCTTCTCTTTGACAACGTGAAGACAAGGGTTCTTCGTCTCCAGCGAGATTGCTTAGGTTTAATATCAATGGAGGTTCAGAAAATCTCAGGGAGGCGAGTCTTCGTGAGTAATCGTTACGTCGGTTCATGTAGTGACTTTTCGTTTACGATTCATCCCCTCTCAGGCGTTACAAGTTGCGTTGATTCAACGTCATTAATAAGATCTTAACTCCTTGGACCCACTCCTCACACGATTCATCAAGAAAGCATCCCCCTTTCCTCCCTTTCTCGAAATTTTGGAGTATAAAAAGGTATGAAATTCATTAATTCAATCTTCTGAATTCGTTTATGAGAGATGTTTTCAACTTCGCTTTAGTTTGTCGATTTTCATTCCATCTGTTTATGAATTCGTCTGCGTCTCATCAGATTATGGGAGGCTCTCCCTTTCTCTTTGATCATCCCTCTACCAGCTATATGATTGGCCATTGTAATTGGTTTCTGTTTGAAGTTTTTCTTTGAACTTTGATATTCAATTGCGATCTGAATTGAGCTTTCTAATCGGTGGAACAGTCTTTGTTAATTCCTATTTTGNCCATCTGTTTATGAATTCGTCTGCGTCTCATCAGATTATGGGAGGCTCTCCCTTTCTCTTTGATCATCCCTCTACCAGCTATATGATTGGCCATTGTAATTGGTTTCTGTTTGAAGTTTTTCTTTGAACTTTGATATTCAATTGCGATCTGAATTGAGCTTTCTAATCGGTGGAACAGTCTTTGTTAATTCCTATTTTGATTTTAATCTCAGCTTGATTCTGAGAAGAGCCCATTTCAAAGGACGTATACTTGCTCAGGTAAGTTCATATCTCTTTCAGATGTTATTTATGTTCAAAGAAAGTATATCTTACACTTAGTGGATATTTCTCCAAAGTCTTGACTCATTGTTGATATGTATGAAGATAAAAAAATGTGGAGAGATGAAAGATATATGATACATTTCTTCAAATACCAACAAAATAAGATTGAATTTTATCCCAAAGAGTTCCTAGATACGGACTTGGATGATGTAGGGATGAACCCATATGCCTACTTTTGTTTTTAATTTCTTGGAAAGCCATTGGCTCATCACTATAATTTATTTTCCTTCTTTCCCCTTTTCAGGTCAAGCTTGGAGAGCTAGAATCTGAAAACTTGTGGAGTTTAGGTCTCATGTAACTGTTCTTACACGGGTGATATGAATTTTAGTTTAGGTCTCAGTCTTTTAGTCAGCTGTCACAATGAGTGTCAAGAGAGTACTACCATATTCAGAACGCTGCAATGGCTGTCAATAGTACCATCCTTAGTGTATGGTTTGGCAACTCTTCCAAAGTTTATAAGTTTGATTGTAATAAGTACTAAACACTAACCAGAATACTATTATTGATGTTGTGTTTGCAGGATTTTATAAAATCTATGTTGGAGAAAGAGTACTTCAAACTTTAGCTTATAATACAGTTGCTTAGTATGATTCTGTTATCTTTGTAGACAAAACAATGAGAATTAGTGAATAATTTCTTATAGGTTTTCTACTTCTATGTTTGATCTTTCCCTTCTGTTCTAATATGTCCGGTACATTTAATTCAGATCAAAATCTATGAAAAATGTATTTACTTCCTTTTGCTCAATTTCTGTATGAAGTAAGCAAAGAGACAAAAATGTTCATCAAGAAAGAAGTAAATCATAATATTTTAGTAAACTAATTTATGATTCCATATTATATTACAACAATGTTCCATAATGGCTGTGACCAAAATACAATATCTGAAAAAGTCACACAGACACACAGACCTCCTGTTTCAGTATTCTTATAGACCCTTGGTATTTGAAACATAATTTAAAAGTCCTTACTTAACGATCCACGATCAAGCTTTTACTTGATGTGCTCCTGAGTTACATATTTTGCTTCTACATACCTCTTACTCTCTTTCTTATTAACCAAGAAACAGGGTTCCAGAAACATAAAGCACAGTTTGAGCTGCAACAATAAACTAATGCTAGAGAAACGATAAAGGGTAAGAAATGAAACTGGTGGTTCATCTGCAGAGACAAGACACACAGCTCAAGGAGAAGACACATAAGAGATGTATCAACAAAAGATGTGACTGAGTTGCAGAGACCTAAAACACAACTTGGGTTGCAAATCAAACAGTCAAAATCTAAGAATCAACTGGTGCAGAGGCAAAGGATCAAAGACGATGGTGCAGAAAAAAACAGTCAAAAGGTGGTTGAGCTCAAGGAAAGAAAGCTTAACTTGAGTTGGAATCAGGCGATCAAAATCTTTTATACAGGACTTTTAAGTTTCACACAAGGTAATATGTATTGAATAAGCAAAACTGGTGAATGAGTGACACATACAGAGGCATTGTTTAAGTAGCAATTAGAGAATTCAAAAGCTATGACCGAAATTCTGGAAAAAATTGCAAAAGATAGTAGATATATATAAAAAATGGTGGCAGAGCGGCAAAGGCAATGGAACTCTAAAATTCACATTAAAATCATTATATTTTGAAATATTATAAGAAATTAAACAGTGTCGATTGTATAGACATTCAATTCCACAGAATAAATAAAAAATTAATTATCCTTGCTTAATATTAGTTTATTTTAATTATGTCAAAGTGAACATACCAATTTATAAAAAAAATGGACATATGAACTTATAACCGAGAACCAAACCGAAACAGAATATAAGACTTGAATTCAAAACTGAATAAGTATTCAAAAATAATCAAATTGTCAATCTCTGGAAACAGAAAAAAAACATACTGAACCGGAATTGAACTGGAACATAACCATAAAATCACCAAATATTTAGTATTCAAATTACCAAATATTTTAAACACGGTTTACAAACTAAATTACCTGAAAAGGCGAATAACATAAATATTTTTCTTTCCACAATGATTTAAAATTATCCCAAATTACCCAATAAGACCAAATTACCCCAATAGTCTATATCCAGATTATTTAAACTTATTTTAATTACTTGGTATTTATTCTAAAAGAAAAAGAAAAATAAAAAATGATTTATGTACCGAAATATCCAAATTTATCCAAACAGCCAGAATGAATTGAAACCAATATTTTATTAAATATAAGTCGATTCTAAATTTTTTGCCTAAACCGAACTGATACCTAAATTTTTTTTATAAATAGCCTTACAAATGTTTCTCTACAATTGAAAAACTGAAGAAAAAAGGCACTGAACCAAAAACCAAATAAATACCTACATTCAATAAGCTTGATAGAAAAATAAAATATTTAAACATAACAAACTGGCGATCGAACTCATAAATTTATTTTCAACAAATTTGTTCATGTTTTCATATTTGGTTCTTTATTTTAATCTACTTATTACTAATTTAACATTTATATCTACTGATTGGGTTGTCGAACCAGTGCTTTCTTCTAATGCATTTATCTAGGTATGTTCATTCTGGATTTCAGATTTTTTTTATAGTTTTTCGGTATTTTGGTTTATAAAAATTGATTATCATATTGGATCCATATTTAATTTGGTTTGGTTCGGTTTATTTGGGTTTACACAAAAACAATATAACTATATTCATCCTAGATTAAAATTAGTTTATGATTAGAAATCAGATTTAA